TTCAGAGAAGTGGCGAGACGAGGTGAAGCCGATCGCTCACTTGACAGAGCCCGTGTTACAGGAGCACAAAAGCGAAGTCCAAAGTTTAACGATACTTATTTACGAAAGTAAACGACGAAGAGTATCAAATTTCGGCAAATTCAGTCTGTACATTACATAAGGGATGAGGTCCCGGCGTATTAGCAACGAGCACTGAATCACCCGGTATTCCCATTTTCCGAAAAAAGGAAATGATATTTGAGAGCAAAAACCTGTCTTCGTCGAGCACTTCCCGTAGAGAACTGCCCACACAGTCTACGACGTCGGCAATAAATCTTCACACAATACAGAAGGGGTTGTTCCACGGAGAGGTCCCGTCATACATGTGTAGTAGAAGGAGGAGACTCACCTTGCACGAGGAAATCATGTTAAGAGTGGCAATCGTCTATGCGAAGACGCGTCAAAATTACTTCCTCACGGCCAGCAACTCGCGGGGAGGGAAACTAGGGTTAAGTTGGCCTAACATTTCCGCAATATCTTTCCGATGTTTCCGCAATATCTTTCCGATGTTTCCGCAATATCTTTCAGCAATTTATTTTTGCTCCTTGCATCTTTACACTTGCAAGAAAAAGCACGGGCAATACATTATCAGAAAGATCTGAGGAAGATCTTTCCGGCAAGTTATTGCCGATCGTTTTTAATCAGAACGTACTGTGGCCGTGTTTGGTGATGTCACGTGAACTTAAGTGAGTTTATACCTCATTTTTTCCGACATGGCTAGCAAAACGCATGAGAAGCGAGTCGCGGTCGTACTTATTGTGCTAAATGAAGAGATAAAGAAACGCCTGAGATTAGCGAGGACATGTGACGAATTTTAAGATGAAAAAGAGGGATTGGTGGTACAGGAGTCTCAATATTTTTCATAAAAAAATGTTTTCGGGGACTTCGATTCACGTGGGAGCAAAGTAATTTTCTTTTTATGAAAAGTTCCATTATTAATTCCATAAAGTTTTTAAATATTACATACAATTGATGTATTATAAATTAAGCTTCAAATGGATTTAAATTAAAATATATTAAGGTATTAATCTAACGTAAAAAATAATCAGGGGGCATCATTACGAGTAGCTGAACCAAAATTTGAACCATTCGAAACCAGAGGGTTTAGAATATTTAATACTACTTTTTATTGTATTAAACGTTTTCCACACACCCACTTTACGAGAAAAAAAAACGCATATTACAATGCAAAATAATAGTCCAAGAACCACCTTCACCGTACTTCCTGGGAAAGTGACCGTGATCATCACTGGCTTCTTCCAGCTATATCTTGCTCAGACTTCAATCGGGGGTAGGAAGTGGGGGGAGGGGTAGTGAACGGAGATTGTAGTATTTGGTCTGTGATAGGATAAAGGGGTTTGCAGAGAGGAATAGGGTTGCGCAAGATTTCGCATGGCAAGGGTGGTGAACAGCAATTTCTGGAAACAGATATATCGAGGTTAAGATGACCATGCCTTCAGAATATTCGAGAATCGGTAGTTGATATAGCAAAAAACCCTGATGGATTATGTGATCCGGTTGTACGAAAGTTTCGCTTAAAATGCTCCAAGCAAAATATCGCGCCTTACATTCCAGGACAAATGAACAGTGTTTGCATAGACGCGTTCATTGCGTCTGCTGCAATAGGCGCCAGTGGCTACGCGGATGTCAGCATTTTGTATACTATTTAAAGAACGAAGGGTTTAAGAGGAAACTGATTCATAAACTATGCTGCCGTAGTCCAGCGAGCGAATGAGTGCTCTATAGAATTGCAGAAGGCAAAGGCAGTCTGTTCACCATAGATCCCACTAATGGGACTTAAGGAGAAACGCATGAGCCATGCAGCCAACAAATATGTCAGGGGTCGTACCCGAAGTACAAATGGCAATGACCTATTCGCAGAGGCGAAGAATTATCTCCACGCGACTAACACCACGAGATGAAGCCCAAGGTTTTATAGTCTCCTTCACTTTCGTGCGTTTAAAATTCCTGATAGCAAACGTTTCTGCCTAATCAGCCACTTCATTTCCTGTTATTCTCGCGCGGCCAAGAACACAACAAAGAACCAAATAGTAATGATGCAGTATTACATGTAGTTATGTCAGATTTTAATATAAGGGGTCGCAAGAAGAGAAGGATGAGATTGATTGGCGGGAGCTTTTGGAATCCGAACACTATTTCTTGTAATGACGCCAATTGATGGAATTCTAATGCCTGGAATAGCGCATATTTCTTTGCAGTACATACATTGCACGAAGAGTCAATATGAAAGTTAGCAATTACTTTGTTCTATCTTATTACCACACAGTACTTTGCCATTTATGAGCTACCACCGGTGTAAATGAGCCAGTGGCACGGAAGTTTATCACATGAAATTGTTTTAGATGAGTACTTGGGGGAATTATTTCAGGGAGGCTCGACAGTCAGAAGTTTATTGGGGATAGAATAGTTTCGAAGGGCAAACGACAGAGGGGATTTCAGAAGGTTAGGGACTTGTACGCTATGGTTTTACAAGTGTACTTATCAGATGACTCAATGACTCGAACCAAGCGCAGATACTCTTAATCCTAGGCGCCCTTGAGTGGGTTAACCCCGTACCGACAGTCTAAAAGTGGTCGAAATCACAAAAAAAGAGAATTTCGGGACACGTAGTACATAGAGTAACCAGCGTTTACAACGGAGTTGGACGGAGTCAACGGGCATGGTACTAGCGCGAAGCCATACGAGTGAGCATGTAATGCCTCTCAACTCTCTGGTCACAATTTCCTCCGACACAAGTCGCCATGCACAGCAAATGTGGGCACGCGTTCAGTACACAGAGAAGGCCGGTGAAGAAGGAAAGAGGGTGTCATCAAATGGAGAAATGAACAAAAGAATGGGAGATCGAGAATAGGGCAATGTGAGCCTTCCTGTGCATATGCATTATGGCGGAGTCGATTATCTCTTGTGAATAGTGCAGTGCCGGCTGGTATATTTAATTAATGGAGGGGGCTGCATGCAAAAATAGAAAATGAATGTGTTCAATACCGGTGTAGGCCTATGGCGAGCATTTATATCGCACTTCTTGAAGAGTTAAGCCTCTAAATTTCACAGTTATTTTAAATATTGAACAGAATTACTAAACGTATCCATTCTAAATAAGTACTAGGTGCTGAAACAGCACGTACTTCCACGAAAAGTTGTACTCAAATTTTCGAAAAATTATACGTGACCTTCTATCAAAATCTATCATTAAGGAACAGATTTCAGTAAAGAAAAAATCTCTATCATCAACATTTTAGTTTTAGGAAGAATTTTAAACTTTTTCAATTTTCGAAAAATCAGGCTTTTTAACGAAAATGTGAGCAGCACCATTCTCTTAAACGCCTTTTACACTACACAATAATAAAATTTAATCAAAAATGATGGAGCCGTTTTTTTAAATGTTGACAATGTTCCAGTGGCTTCATGCGAAGTACCCCCCAAAATTAAAATATCGGTTCCAAATTCAAGGGGCCGCGACATCAGTCAGACCAATTGGGAATATCAATTTTGGAGAAAATCGGCTTAACGGTTTAGCCGCTAGCGTTGTTCACACAGACAGACATATGTTTTGCCGTCATTGGATTTTTCGGTTTCAAGGACTCACAAAACAAGGATTCAGGCTACACCACGTGTTAGATGATTTTTATTTGTAAATTTAGCAACAGAATTTATCCTTATTTTCGTTACAGGGCCCTGTCATAAGTTTCTCTGCCGAAAATTCGCGCAGCATTACATAATTTTCTTTCTACTCGCGAGAAAGTAAAAAAAGAAAAATACAATATACGGGGCCTTAACTATATCATACGCATTAAAAATCGTGTAAACGGCGTGCAAAACTGAGGGTGGGACTGTAAGGGACTGCCTTTCCTGCAGCCCCTCGAATCCTAATATTGAGACACACAAACATCTGGGAACGCGAAATCCATTATGCCCATACTTCACTACAAGCAGCAGGGACTGTCAGTTTCAGGGAGGGAAATGGAATCGCAGCAGAACACGGCGGAAGCTTTTCGCAAGGTACACACGCACCAGCAGTGAGCTATATTGGCCATGTAATTTAATGAAAAAATATTTTACATATTTTATTTTAGATTTAGATTCGGTTTTTTTTTAGATGTGCTGAAAATATTTACATGCTTACAGAAAATACAGGAAAAGGGATTAGTAGGATAAGAAAGGCTACAAGAATTGAAGTTCAAATAGTGACTGGGAATATAAAAAATATATTTTTTAAATATTCTACCACAAATATATCAGTAAATACGTTCATAATTTCCAAAAGCAAATGTATTTTTTGGAATTGAATTAGTACATTGGTTGAACTGTAACAAATCATTGATTTAACTTTAGATAATGGATATAAATAATATATCAATGATCCAATTACGCAATTATGAATGTACTGACTTGGATCCTTCATTGCCTATGCACAATAAACTAAATATGTATCTTCCATTTATGGTTATACATATTTGTACATAAATACCCGTTAAAAGAATGAGTAATGAATTACTTCTAAAAACCAAACAAATTTCAAATGGTATACTTTATCTAAATCTTTCATTTATTATTTTTTATCAAAAACTGTAAAAGTGCGAGGTAAGGAAGAATACAATCTACGCAAGTATTCTTGAATTCCGAAATCCCTACACTTTTTTTTACTATTCATAGTCAATTATGAATAAAGGTAGCAAGAGGAGTTATTCGCACCTTTTAATAACATGAAATGTCCTCTGTCATCTATAAGAAATAATTACTGTCATGTATCAGAAAATGTTCGCATCTGAAACTATTTAAAGACCGGGCCGAGGCCTGCTGACGATATACGAGGAACTACCCCATCACATGTCTAGCAAAATGAGGACGCATATAGGGATGTTACTGTCTACAAGCAAAGCACGGGACCTTTTGAAATATTAGAGAAAAACACAAATACTTTGAGTCCACTTCAAACTTACCCAATTCGTACAATATTTGTCGGGGCCAATACGTTTTGTGTCGAGAAATGAACACAGTTCTGGATCATGGTACTGTAACAGTAGCCGAAATAGTTGGAAACAGGAACCATTTTTTTCATATGCTCTGAAAATACAAAAGAGAGAAAATATCAACCGCCGCAACTAGTACAATTCTCAGGAGGAAACAAATCCGTGACGGAAGTACGCAAAAAAAAATTAGGAACCAAGCCACGAAAATTCATTGGAACATTGATTACATTCTATTCAGAGGCGGAATTCCGGTTTTTTTATTCAGGGGGTGAAATGGTCCCCCCGCATAAGATAGTAAAAAGTATCCCTAAACCAAATGGCATATGAGTAGTTTCACTATAATTCTAACATAAACATAATATTTTTGAAACTTTTCTTACCCCCGACCCTCCAACCACACCCCCTACAGCAAGAAACATGTTTTTTAATTAAAATTGTTTCATCAATTTAATACTGTTTCATCTGATTGAAAAAATATGAAAATTAACAAAATAATTCATACACCAGAAAAACATTTTTGATACTTTCTCAGCGCCAAAATCAAACGCAAAGATTTTTTGAAAAAATATCAAAAAATATTTTTTACCGTCTTAGAAACCTGGAACAAACTTGAAAAAATCTCAAAAGTTCTTTTAAAACACTAAACGTGAATTTTTTCGGAGTTTTTCGATGCTGAGCTGTAGTTAAAAAATAAAACATTTTAACCACTGTAATCCTAGATTACAAAGGCTTCGTCTAAACGACATTCCTTGGGACGAAAGCTTCCTGTATCCCCCTCCCCTCACTCCCCGTTTCTGAAACTCTTGGTATCTTCATTGTGTGATTAGCCAGTGAAATACACGTAACCTTGTGCGCGTGCCTATTTCCGGTGTACGCAAACACGCGTCGTCTAGTAGAATACGCTCAAAATACAGAAAAAAGAAAATCTTTTATAATATAAATTTGAAGATCCGCAAAATGAAATGCCAAAATATATATTTTTTTAAAATTTGTTTCAAGACTAGGAGGCAGTTACCCGCGCCTCCCTCAGAATTCCGCTTCTGTATACAAATATTACTTCAACATATTTTACGAATTTTATATGACGTATCTCCAACGTAATTTCCCACGTCCCGCTGAATGTCTCGCAAAGTTTGAGCAACTGAAGCAAGATATTTTTTTTCTTTATATTATTACTTTTGGTTTCAGGATATGCTGCCAAAAATGATTTTTCAGTTGGAACGTTTCTCTACGCAATAAAAACTTGAAATCAGAGCGGGTCACTATGAACTGTGCTATTGGCGCATCTGGCGTGACAATTCTGTAGTTTTCGCGGCGCGCAATTCGGTTTTGCAGTTGGAGTGAGTGGCGGATGGCAATCGCTCTTGCACGATTGCGCAAGGAGTCGAGACCGCGAGCACGCTCGGGCCATCGCACGCTTCGGAAGACGAAATCCGGAGACAGTGGGATCAAATAACCTGGGCGTGACACGCGCTAGGGACGTGCAAGTCTGTGGTTAGGGAAAAGCTACAGGAGCTCAATTGTACAGTAACGTTCAAAAAAATCTATTATCCATTTGTAAAATAATAAAATACTGATTTACTACGAACGATTATTTGACTACTAAAAATAACTAATTGAGGGATGACGCATTTAAAATTCGACCAACAGGGGACAGCCACCCTGAAGAAATACGACCGAGCTCTCTGCTTCTGTCGAACAGTACAAGACGATGCCAGGGCACGTCGGTTCTGCGCACGTACGTGCGTTGGGAATCAGCGGATCAAATATTCGATATTCCGAGGACGCACGGTGTCTAATCAACAAAAATACCAAAGAAACTAAATTCGATTCCACCATAGCATGACGCAACAAGTGGCACCGATTGCAAATAGCACGAAATTTTACCTGGTGGCCCTTTCAGGGTCTACCTAAAATCGCTTCTCCGTCCTACAGAGGACCACGGTTAGAATTTATTAGTGATATAAAAGGACAGTTTGAAATGGAATGAAAAAGAAAACTTGAATTTTGTACTAAAGGAATGAAATTTTGTTCTACTATTTATTTTATGCAGAATTATTAACATTTAATCTCATTTTTAACGGTTTATCCCCAGTATAAAGAAACATTTTATACATATTCTGCACAAGCCCGGGGCCCTTAATCACTAGCGTGCACACTATCCTTGCGCAAGGGCCCGGTATCGATTTTCACTAAGGCTTTAGCTTTCAATTACATCGGTTTCTGTGCCGAGGGCAATATGTAAGCGGCTGGAGATATGGCCTTTGTCTTGTAAAACGCGTTACTTGCAGGAGCAGTGGGTAGCTTTGGTACTTTCTGATTCACCGTTAATGATAATGATTGTGGTTTAAACAGCGTTTCAACACGAATGATCATCCAATTACACAAACGCGAAACCACGTCGACAGTGATCGCTTTAAAAACAAAGAAAAATATGTAGCAAAGAAGGTAACACATCTAGGTGAAGGTAACACATCTAGGTAAAGGTAAAACGATGAGCAGAGTAAATAAGTGTCGCCCAAGACAAATAAAAAGGTATATTTAAACAAATTTTCGTTATTCCGGAGAGATTGTAGATTACGTTTTCCACATCTAAGGTGATAAGTCCGCAGAGAGAGGATTCAACATTGGCAAGCATCTTTCGTAGAGAAATAGCAAAGCCATGTCTTCGCCTAGCGTTTATTCACTTTTCACAGAGCTCGAAGACAATGCTCCTCGTAAGGTCCGTTGTGATGCATCACAGAGGTGTCAACGGAGGTGAAAATGGCAGTAATAGATACGAAGGGATGATCACCTCGCGCCTAGCACGTCGAAACGAGGAAATCAAGGTTTTATGGACTCCTCTATCGTTGTAAATTTAAACCTGAGCTATGCCACTCTGCTTGACATACACTAAGAACAGTCAGTTTGATATCAGACTAGAATAAACAGAATATCGATTCAACTGCATTTCTCGAATTCCCGCAAACCATAACACGCCCTAATGGCACTTTATAAACTATTTTAATATCTCAGCACTTATTTCTTAGCAGACTATACATCCCATGAGGGGCCCATCACAAACAGCTACTGGCATTACACAAGAAAAGGCGCACCCTAGATTGGTATTTGATCAATAATGAATACAGTATAGTAGGGTGAATTTTATTTCCTGAAAGAGCTTTAGAAATATGCTTCGGAAAGTTGATGGTTTGGTTGAGGTCGGATTATCCGAGGTCTATAAAGGTTCGGAAATGTTTATTACAGGAACAGGGTCTATTAGGGGAGATTTCGCAGGAGTGGGCAGGTGTTGCAAGCTTTTGGAACAGAGCCGAGAAAGGAGACGCATGTCAAAAACAGAGAACAAAGATGTTCATTGGACATACAACACAAAACCACTTGCCTAAAAGGCAGCTTGGCGAAGAAAATATCCAGGGTTTCTGACAATATTATACTAGAGGAAACTGCCAGCTGTCTCGTCTTCTCAGAGATGGTTCACCATGCTCAGCCAAGAGTTGAATGTGGCGTGTGCAGAAGGAACCTACGCTGATATGAATATCCGCATTGATAATAGAATAGTAGTGAGGCATGCACAATGATATAATAATCCCACGCGTCTGCACCCCACGAGTCACAACTAGTGGTGCGAACAAGATGCAACGACGGGTTATACGATCTGTATCTAGCAAATGACATTACGCCATGTTACTTTCTTGCCATATCAGCAAATGAGGCATATGGAAACTTTATATCAGGCAGTTCTGACGCAGAACGGGCGCCGCGCCGCGATACTTTTTGTTGGCGCCACAATGAAACAGCTTTCCTTCATTTCTCACCAAGACGTGCATTTTCAGAGTGGTCCCTGATCACCCGATCCTGGGTTTCTTCTGAGAGTACGTCAAAGATCGTATGGAACCCCGCCGGTCGACATGGGAAGCATTATGAATATGTGCTTTCACAACTGTTTGCGGCAATAAAGATAGTGGTGTTAAACCCTAACGTAGTGTTATTTCACGGTCTTCAGACTTCTGCCTCGCGAATTATCTTTACTCCTCTCTGCCGCGGGGTTCGGTCTCCGTTCGTCGTCGTCCTCACTAGACACCAAATTGAGCATGTTATTATTCAATGCGCAATTGTTTTTTTTAAATGCATACATGGTAGTCGGCGAGTTTGTAATTTTGCGAAGTGCCCTTCAGCGATTCCAAGTGTGCACTATTGCTTGCTGTCATGTTCTCTAAGGTCTCCGTGAAGGTATCATGATATACACTGCATAAATATTCTTATATACGTACAGAATTATTCAAAATTGCCTCCAAGGGAAGTACTGGCGGTGACATGGCAATGTTCTATGGAAACTGTACCGAAACACGTAATAAATATTATTTGGTAAATAAATATTCTATCACCACCCTCCTTATCCCAGACTTATCACATTCTTTGGTCGCACTTATCAGAGCAATACCATCCCCAAAATGTATGATAAAATACCTTTTCATGGAATACCAAAATTATACTATCTATTGCCGAAATTTTCAGAGAGGAGGAACAAAACTGGAGACAACGCATTTCTGTCTGTCGGTCAAATGCATATGAGAAATACATTATTTGAATTTAGTCAATAAATATTTAATTTAAAAGAATGCTTACCTAGGAATGTATAAATTTCTCACTGCTTCAAAGAGATTGTAGGTATCTTCCAGAGGCAGTTTAAGTGACATGAGGGGAAGCAAAATTTCAATCCAACCATTGCCGGTTTCATACTGGAAGCCAGTTGTTTTACAGTAGAAAGTGAGAAGAGACTCTAAATCTGACGTTATGGACACTTTATCTTCATCTTCATTTCCAAGATTCTCTGAAAAAAATCATATTAAAGACGTTAATGTTATTAACCGCTAGTGAAGACATATCTTTGTTTGTTAAACTTTTAACTGACATAGCACAAAGTTACCTTGCAAATACATTGATGACAGGAAAGCATCGGTCAAAATTGTCATAACATATAGATCAAAAAACACAAGCTTAAGAAAAACATTTTCTGAAGACTAACATTTATTGGTTCATTGCATGTGTACATTGTGACGATGATTACGTGTTCTGACTTTAGTAACGTAAAATATGCAAGTTACTGACACCTTAAGTATGTAAATAAATATATAGTATAAATAATATAGTTATGGAAGTTACTGACACCTTGTTATGTAAACAAATAAATCTTACTTACGGATCCACACCTACAGAGAAATATATGTTCGAGTCATGTCTAGTTTCAACAAATGTTGCTAATCTCGCGCTTTTACAAATTAATTATTATTTTTATTTATTTCAACTTTTATCCATCTTTCATCAATTTATAGTTCATATGTTAGGAAAGGGTTCTGGAACTCAAGAAAACGTGGGCAGTTGTTTTTCTCCTCCATACGTCACAGTTTTTACTGCTTTTAGACTAAATAAATAAAGTGTATTAGTTTGGATCACACCTTAGTAACGAGAGTAAGAAATGCACGTACACTGTTATGCCATCTACAACAGTCTAGCAAAATGAGCAAGGGTAACCGTTGACGCAATTACCTAAGCAAATATGAATAAACTTTATTGTAATCAAGAACCAGGATAAATAAGTAATAGCCGGAAGATGTGGGTAGAGAATGATATGGTGCTAGAAGCAAGTGGCAGCATTTTAATGGAATAAACACAAGGACTCAGACGGTTGTGGAAGTTAAATGTAGTACAAATTGGTGGTCAAGAACACACGATGTTTTATTTGCATGGCCTGTTAAAGACGGGTTACCATAAATGTTATGAGAGTAATTAAATTGGACAATTTGTTGCATCGTTTTATTTATAACTTGAGTCAACATTTTAAATTCGCAAGCTATATTGAGAACTCTGGTCGTGGATGACACAAAAATTTAGTGAAGCAGAATAGAGAAAGAACTCCTAAACATACTGTCAATGCTGACACGTGTAATGGTGAAAGGAATTCTGTGCACATCGTAATCATTAGCATTGAGTTCAATTGCATACACATATTCCTGACAAAATGTATTAGGATACAAAATAATTTACCACACAAAATGTTACCTATTAAATTTAATTCAGTTTACAATACATTTTTCCAAGTTGAAAAAAGAGGGTAAGAAATTTGCATTAATTGATTAGCGATTCCGGACGCGTCAACCGCCAAAGTCAATAGTCCCGTGCGTGTGGTGAATCTTTTTCCCGGGAGGTGGCCGTGATCTTGCCCCGCTAGGTGGTGGGATCTGGCGCCGACCAACCTGTCGGCTAGTGGGGTTTTCCCCAACTAGGATCTCCTGCCAGCAAGGCACCGCCCCACACCGATCAATTTCGGGTCGCTAGTTGGACAAAAATGCAAAAAGCAACTTTCTTGAAAAATACTAAAATCGATATTGCTTTAAAGTTCGTAAACCAGAGCACATGAAAAGTGAGAAAACTTAACAGCAATGGGCACGATGAGACGTCTAGAATTCAGCAGTCGGCACGCCTCGGATCGAGCTCTCTCTATTCGCGTTTCAGCAAGCATGTGCTGAAATTAGAATGTGTCGACATGAAACACTGAGAGAGGTACATCACTCCCTGAAAACACAAATTCTTGAAGGTATTTCCCAAAATAATGCTGATAAAAACAATTATTTTAACACTACGCTTCGGTTAAACGGATTTTGCATGATACAAAATTTGTGAACCTCCACAAAAAAGTTCAAATATTTTTTCTTTCAAGATTATGCTGACTAAATCCTATATCTTTCAGTCGTGTTTAAGGTTCTCTTGAGCAGTAACTTCAAAATAAATGTGTATTAGTGATGTTTGAACGATTGCATTTCGAAGGTGGGAGAGGGTTGGCTATTTATGAACTTGTGGTCAGATGTCGGCAGAATACTTCTGCACCAAGGGATATTTTCAAATATAGGAAGATCAGAATTGCTAAACAATAAAAATTATGATATTAAATTTGTTTCTTTTGTTTTGTTTTTTACTTTCCCGCCTTCTCGAAAGTAAGAACAAACTATTGTAATCGTGCTCCGGAAAACGGCTAATTTTCGACAAAAAAAGAACAAAACATTACAGGGCCCTTGTAATAAAAAAGGGTGTAAATCCTGTTCCTGTGTGTAATAAATTACTTGTCTAACACGCAGAGTAGCCAGGACTAACGTTCTGGAGGTTCTTGATACCGAAAAATCGAGTGACGTGAAAACGTCCTTCCTCGGTGGTCAACGCTAGGGCCTACACTGTTCAACCGATTTTCACCAAAATTTGGTATTCCCGGGCGATCTGAACATACTACGGGACAAAAGAGTAGTTGCCACGTTAGTCTTCAGTACAAAATCTAAATTATGCGTTGCATAATACTAAGAGGACGAAATGTTTCGGTATGCTGCACATTCCTTATATTTTTCCTAGAAGTTATTTTACTAGGTTCACTCTAGCTGAAGTTGAGTTACCTATACTCGAATATTCTTGTTTTATACGTCGATACAGACTTTTCACTATAATCGAAAGTTCGCGACATTCGAATTCACAAAATCCCGGGACAGCTGTGCAAAATACTTCACATACTTCAATTTTTTGATGTTTCCGGGTGAGTCAACTGCGAATTCAACTTTTCCTTAAGTGTAGTTACATACTTAAAAGTAAGTTAGTTCATAACCAGTCAAAACTCGATATACGTACTTTGGTTAATTTGTTTACTACATTACTTCACAATATTTGAACTAGAACCGTATAATATTCTTCAATAACAAAAAATACGTTTTCACAAATAAATTTAAATGAGGAAAATTTAATTTTTCAATAGTTTCAACATTAATAAAGATGTTTTACATAATTTAGTATCTATGAAAACCACATAACTTAATTAAATATTACTAAAATATTTTAAAACATGTTAACAGATATTTAACATCCATATAATTACAAAAACATCTGACATGTCTATTTATGACCACGTAGAAATTAACAAGAAATTATTTTTAAGGAATAATTTTTAATTATAATGTACTAAAATAAATTAACAGTAAAATGTACTACGTATAATTTGTTCAATTTAACAAATAAACATTAGAAATACTTTATTAATACAAATACAATTGAGAAATCCGATTTAAATCAAACAAAATCCGCATTCACCTACTTGAAAAAAAAGTCATGATTTTTCCTATCCTGCTGTTATTCCTTTTAATGATTTGCAAAAACAGAGCGCTTGCAGTTCTAAATAGAGGGGGGGGGGTCCAAGGCCCGCCGCCGCTGCCTTGTGAACTTGAGTGCCTAAATAGGCCGGGAACCAACTCGGCCAATAGCACAGCCAATTTTTAATTTTTTTGAGCATTTGAGTTATGATTAACCTTTTCGGATCTAGACCGCTTTCCAGATAAAAGCTTATCGCCTCCACGTACTCTGAACGGTCTCAGTGATTCAAAGCTTGGATAAACAATACGAGCTGTCCCAACGAGCGCAATGTTTGTAGAATGGTCTGATTCCAGATAGTGCCGTAAGCCTTTCTTTATCGAAAAGGATGGCCGTGAGGTGTTGTCTTAACGCACATGCAGTGGATATCTGGGTGGTACGGAACTGGGTATTCTAAACATGATCGGTGTTCTTGGAAATCACACTGGATTGGCGATAGTACCATATTTTGATTTTTCAACCAGTCCAGGCGGGGAATTAAAACAAACAATTTGCAAACATGGTCAAAGATATTGAGTGTAACTAGCCACTATAGTTCGGTCCTTGTCTTCTTTACAAACTGGGATAACCGACTCACCATTAAAAGGAGATGGAGAAGAATTGTTGAAATCGCTAGGAGGAAATGGAGTGCTTTGTCTGAAAGATGCTTAAGCATTCTATTATGGATCTAGTCCGGCTCCAGGCCAGACCAACTTGAGCAATGCACAGGGAAGTTGTCAACGAGGTGGCATTTTCCTTCCCATGCTGATCTGAGTCATTAAGTGAAACCATCTCGTCATCTTTTTTAATTCTCGTAAATGTAGTATAGAGAAAGTATTGTAATGCCGCAGGAACGAGAGCAGCTTTTTGACGGAACAATTCGTTTTATAATCCCCTGACACCGAAAAGTTTGTTCTTTTAGCTCATACGTGTAGCAAATCACTTTTCGGATACGTAGTGCCCTCAGATTCCACGCCTTATAGCTCATTGACACCGAAAAAGAGTCCGTCCTTAATACTGGAAAAGGCAACACTAGCGCCTAAACAGTTCACAGGATTTTTTTCCCGAAAAGGGCATTTCCCGATCGACCTGATCGCACTCTAGTCCCTACGAATTTGAAATGGATATTTTAACTTTGGAGACACTTTACTTGAAAGTCCATCTATATATTTATTATTTCGATACATTCTCAAAAATGGTTCCAAATTACTTCCAAAAATTGTTTGCTGGAATAGTGCAATGTACTCAATGAACAATATACAATGGCGCGGATCCGGTGTTCTTTAACATATCTACATTTTCGAAAATTCTTAAGGTTTAAACATTTTTAGTGACCTCTCTACCAACTACAAGAAATATTTTTTTTTTTAATGGAATCTAGTTTTTCAAACTTAAAGATTTATATAATGTCACATACAATTCTTTGAAACTATGAGTGTTTTGGAATAATTTTCAGTGAAACCGGTTTAATTTTAAACTAGTATGTAAACAACATTTGCTAAAAATCAGCTTCCACTTTTTCTTCACATTTTTTTGCTCAAAAATAGTAACGGCCGCTTAATTATAGGGGATAGTTCTATTTTTATTAAAACCTCTGGAATTTTGAAAGATTAATTTATTTTCAAACGTGGCCCACACCCTTAGTGAGGAAGCTAGAGATTTATACGTGTCTGGAATAAATGTTGCAAACATTTCGAGGGTGTAGACGTGCCGAAATTGTTCATTTTTGACAGTGAACAGATACGAGAGAAATTTCAAATAACGGAGTTACGCAGGTCATGCTGTAACGCAGACAAGGCCATTTCATGTATCTGCTGTAAACCTATGAATGGGTTGCCTTAAATTACAGGGGCAAATATAACACGTGCACTCCGTAACAATTTTTCATGTTCATTTGCACAAAGTGATAATTTTACCTATCCACAAAGCCTAGAAGTTTGCGACATGTTTCCTATTAAACTGTGGGAATGCCGATGTGTTGACATTAATAAAGTATTGAACTAATTGAAAAATGAAAACCAATTGAAGTTATCTTTGTCAACTCAAATGTATTCAGAGAATAAGCTTTTGCGGGTTTGCCGTCATCAATCTCGCTAAATGCGGGGTGCGCACTGTCGCCCGAATTTTGCCAAATACAACAAGACTACGTTGGCAAAGCCGTCGAAAGTAGGCTCTCTGAATAAATCTGAGTTAACAAAGATGACTACAAGTATTTAATATTTCATTCTATTACGTTTTACATGTTTAAAAAAATATAGATTTGAAAAAATTTTGAGTAACATAAGGAGAATTTTGTAACTGTCTCTCTCAGTGTGTCTCAGACTGTTGCGCGCACCTAGTCAACCTGGCGCTCCCCGTCACCTGGCGCTCCCCGTCACAACCTGGCGCTCCCCGTCACAATCTGGCGCTCCCCGTCACAACCTGGCGCTCCCCGTCACAATCTGGCGCTCCCCGTGAAACTCGCGAACCCTGGCCGTCTCGCGCACTCGCAACACAACGCGTCTCCTATAACCCTTGTTGGACGTAGAGCGTTTTATGTGCAGTAATCCTCCGATTCTTTGTATACATGTAGTTCGGATTTTCATAGTTCGTACGTCACTGTCAAGAGGTCCGCCAGGTAGCATTTTCGCATACGCGCCTCGAATACGTGCTCCTGCGCCACTACCCAGCCGCCAAAAATTAGAAAGGCTTAGTATTTAGGATGTTTCACAGGGGGTGGATCTACCCCCTGTAAAGCAGGCAAACTTTTGTGCTCGGAACCAACTTCACATGAGTGGGTCAAGGAATCGAACCGGGACCTTGGCGAAAGGCCAGATACTTCGGTCTGAGCCACGACCACCTTTTCCGCACCCCGTCCGTCTCGCACTATCTCTACTGGCGGGTCTCTGCAATCATTACACAGGCACACAAAAACGTTGTCAGACACAAAGACTTGACACATGTTTCTCTATGTATGTCGACGCGCATAATCCTAACCCGAAGCCAGAATTGCGCCACAACCTTCCAGTGTTTTAAATCGCGTGGAGGCGTTGTCGCGTAGTGGCGTTTAAATCGTGGTGGCGCCATTATGGCTTAGGATTCAGATTCAGCACATCGACATGCATATAGTAACATGTGACAACAACCTCCGAAAACAAAAATAAATACGATTTCACGAGGGGTTTTCGCAATTTAAAAAGAACTGGAGAGTGGGGCGCAATTCTGGCTTCAGATTCGGATTCAGCACGTCTACATACATAGAGAAACACGTGTCAAGTCTCTGTGTCTGACCACTTTTCTTTATTTTGTGTGCCTGTGTTATTAGTAAATTTCGCAAGCCGTGAATCGGTCAGAATCTCTAATTGTGAGGTAGAGGTGTTTCGCGATAAAAAATTAAATGACAACAAACGTACAATCTAATTCCCTCGTGTTAGATATATGGAATAATGCAAACGTTCACTTGATTTATTTTGTCAAAGAACAGTAAAAACTATATGTTACGTTGTAATGTTTGGTGTAAAATGTAAAGATATGGGTGTAGGAATGACGTATGTTAAATTTATCTAACTATATAATTATGTCCATGTATTTAAATCAGATACGTGGTGTGGGGTGAGTGCAACTGTGAACCTGCAAAGAGTAAGGAGATCGAAAATCGTTATAAAACAATCAATCAACAAACTTTGAAACAATTCATATGACAAACATTTTACAATATTACAACAGTAACACTAAAGTCGATGACGAAAGTGTATCTTTGAAAAACTTTTATTTCATTCAACTTTTTCAAACTATAGAGTTAATTTCAGTATTTAATAATAATAAGCCCTTTTCACAGAAGACTCAATGACGCCCCTCGCCAGTATCCGTGGTATGTGCTACATTCTTTACTCGTAGATATTTTTTTGTAATTTTGAAGGAGTCAGGCGAAATTACATGGCCATAGACTCACCCTTCACAAATTGCATTGGTTTTTAAACATTTTAAAACTAATTTTTTAACACTTACCAACAAAAATTTGGCAGTCCTTACGTAGTAAATTTTGTTGAGGAAGATCAAATATTTCATTGAAGAGGAGTAGTTGATTTCCTGTGTTGTGAACACTTAGACAAACTTGCCAAACTTCTGGTCGCACCGAATCCGGAATACATCTTCCTTTACTAATAGCGTAAATGTCTGCTGCAGAACATTCTTCTTCTAGAGCAGTTTCCAATTCCAACAACCTAAGAAAAGAAAATTATTCTGACATATACTTATATATTATATTATACACTTCAAGTCATAGTTTATTAGTAGAACTGAGAGGTCAGAATCCCTACATATACAAGATCTGTCCAAAGAGTAAAGAGACTGGTCTCCGAGCGACGCTCCAATCACCATCAGAGCGCCGTCGATGGGTGGTAACGGTGGTCTGGGTCTTGCCTAAGCATTGCACCACGTGATGGTCGCTTCTGATCAGTGAGAGAATGAAGAACGATCGTTGCGCAAAGTGTTTTTTTTTTCATTTTGGTCACGGGATAAAAAGCGAAAATCGGAGCGGACGGTACGGCAACGATACGCCATCAAATTCAGGATTTTTGGGGTCAAAACTTCTTCAGAGGCTTTTACCTTGATTGAACAGACCTACGGAAACAATGTTATGTCGGAAACCCAGGTTTTTCGCTAGCATAAGGACTTGAAAGACGAGCACAAAACAGTTGAGAACAAAGATCGCTCTGAACCCCCTTCAACTACTTCTTCGGACGAAAATCAAATGTTAAAGAACTCTTGGACTCCGACCGACGGTTGAGTCTGCCACTAATAGCGGAAAAACTAAACATATGGAAATCAACGGTACACAACATTGTAACCGAGAATGCACAAAAACTTTAAGAGACTACCAGAGATTGTCGATGAAACTCCACCACGACAACGCTCCGAGCCACAGCTTCCATGTGACGTCGTACCTGGCCCGGATAGGGCTTGTAACTTTGCCACAACCTCCATATAGCCCTGATGTAAGCCCGGCAGAGTTTTTTCTGTTCTCCAAAGTGCAAACTGTCCTGAAAGTTCGCCGTTTTGATGACGTTGCGGCCATCTAGAAGGCCGTAACCAAAAGGCATTTCTGAAGCTGACTTCCAGGGAGCGTGCGAATCATGGAATCGCGCTGGCAGCGGTGGATCGGCACTCAAGGAGACAATTTTGAAGACTTTAGAGTTGTTAAATTGGATACGTTGCTGTTTATGCTGTCTCATTACTTTTTAGACAAACCTTGTAGGCTCTTAGGGCAAACACTGGCGTTGCATTCCATTCTTAGGAACCGGCTACGCCATGTTGGTCAACAATGACAGATTATGAGCATACTTTTCAAATAGCATCGTTTTTCTCTTCTATTCATTTGCATTTATTAATATAATTATTTCGCAAATTATCGTTTTGTCATATTGGTGTGAAGATTAAATGTTAATACAACTCTTAGGATTTCGTGAGAAAGAAAAGATCTCCTAGCCAACCCCCTGCGTATCAAGCACTCATTGTCACTCAAATCTAAAAGCATTCGTCATCGATTAACCATGCCATACAAAAAGCTGTAGCCAACGAACAGGAACTTGGTAAAATTCAATACCTTCGAAAGAATAGGTTTGTAAAATGAGAACGATGAATCAAATACTCACATGTAGCAATGTTACTCACATTTCCTTACATGAAAGACAGAAACATTTGCGGGATCTAACCACAATTGTGAGGTTTAATTTCATTTCCAGGGACGACGGAAATTTTGAGGGAAAGATTAATCTGATTTTCGTTATTTCAAATAAGATATATATATATATATATACACAACGTAGTACTGACTAAAGTCAAGTGACTGTCAGAGAGGCGACGTGTGTTCGCGAAAAGTAATACACGATACACAAGCTCAAGGTTGTTTTATGTAACGCCAGAGCCTTGTTGCCAGCTCTGAAATTCCTAGCAATGTGTCACCTGAAGTATTGTCTGCTCAGTCATCGAAATTGTTTTCTTGACACTCATTGAAGCTAAACTAATTTGGGAATACATCCGTGGCACGTAGAAATGACGCATTTATTTTTTAAAGCCGAAGTAACTTGTTTTGGAGCCTTTGTACTCGTTATAATGTTTGTCAATCCACCAACTGGAGTGGTAAGCTTTTAATGCACCGAGTCACTCCAATCAATGAATTTATATAGCTACAATCCAACAAAAAAACATTTCCAAATTGTTTTCGAAAAAAATTAAACGGATAATTCTTTAATTTATATTTAATCAACGCTGTGACGAAAGTAATTAACTCGGGCGGGCTCTTTCAAATTCTTTATTTGTGGCCTTACCGTTTAAATACGTTTGATGACTTTATTCACACGCTTCTCATCTGCTTTTCAGCATGATTTTATCATTTTTTAAAATATACTTTCAAGTAACGATATCTGAACAATGCCACTCGTAAAACAAATTACTCGTGAAACTGCCTCAAACCTCCAACTGCACGCACTGAACTAACATTTTGAGACACTAAACGCTGACGCTAGACCAGTCGTGCTGGCAGAATTATACGTTTCCCAGAGCAATGCTCATCTGTTTTAGTGTGTCAAAGAAAATCGTCTACTGGACTGACAAAGCAAAGTGTCGGGTACAGAGAAATTAACGACTGACCCAGTGGAACTCTTAACTACACTTTTCAACTCTCAGTAGCCTTAGGCGAGGTGCCATGGAATGCGTAGGCGTGGAGCGGGGGAGAGGGAGCGGAGCGGGGCGGGGGCGGGGCGGGGCGGGGCGGGGCGGGGCGGGGCGGGGCGGGGCGGGCGGGGCGGCGGGGCAGCGAGGAGCGCGGGTTGGAACGAGGCGAGACGGCGTGGACGTTGCGGGCTTCGTATGGTGGAGAGGGTGAAGCGGGGCGGCGAGGAGTAAAAAAGCTCGAGGGGGGGGGGCATGATCGAAGCGGGGGCGGGGCGACGAAAGAGCAAGGCGGGGCGATGCCCGTGAAGCGGGGCGGTGAAAAACGGTCGGAGCGGGCCGAGCGAAGCAGGGCGGGCAGAATGTGGCGCGCGGAGAAGCGGGGCGTATTATTTACAGGTTTTAGTTATTATAATAATAATCATAAATTAAAAAATTGTTGAAATAGGAAAATCTAAAAAGGTCTGTATTATCAGTTCCCTAAAGGAAACCATGAAAAACATGACGGAAGATAAGAAGCCGAAAGGTCAAAGACACCCACAATACACAATATCTCATATGCAATAAATGGTGTAATCATTTTTAATAATGAATAAAAATGGGAAACGAGACTTGCTAACCTGTTCCTGAGAAGTATAAAGCCACAACTCCATTTTTAATTAAATTTCTGTAAGTATAACATTTTACTTTCTTGCGTTAATCCGTCAGAAATGAAATCCTACACCGGAAAACGGTGATTTTTCGATAGAAAAACGTTTACTGCTCTTAAAGCTCTTATTTATGTCAAGGAAAAGGAGGATAATTGTTCTTATAGAGAGAAAATTACATTCTCTGGCACGTTATGTAGCAAGAAAAATTGTTTTAGGAGACCCTAATACCGAAATGGGAATTAACGGCGAAGTCGATCCGTCCGCCCATCTGGCTGTCTGTTCGTCCGTCCGTGGTTCGTATTTTCGTAAGTAAGACTGTCTGTCTGTCGGTCGGTCGGTCCGTCCGTCTGTCTACCCGTCCATCTATGGTCAACCCTAGCGCCTAAACTGTTAAGTCGATTGATTTCAAAACTGACATTCCCGGATCGATCCAACCAAACTCGACACCCTGAGATTTTGAAACTGGTATTTTGATTCTGGGGGGTACTTTACTTGATGCCTCAACATCAAAATTTTCTCAAGAATTGCTCCAATTTTTTTACTGAAATTTTGTCCTCAGATAGCGTAAATGAAACTTTAACATCGCAAATGTCTAATTGTTCTTGAAATATTGAATTTTTGAAAATTGAAAACGATCCGCATAAGCGCCTTCCTAAAACTACAATATTGAATATAAAGGTTTTCTTCCTTAATAAAATCTGTGATTCCAAGATAGTTATTGGTATTATTTAACGAATAATTTTTCGAAAAGATCTGTAGATACGCAACGTTGTAGAGGAAGTAATTTACTACATATAGGAATAAGATTTATACACTTTCGTTACCAATGCCAGATAACACTTTTATTTCGTGTTTCCATGGACAAAAACTCCAAAGGCCATTAGTGTAGTGCAAGCATTATCACGGAAAGTAACAGTGTTCTCCCATGGTTGGATGGGTTGATACATGTCGACTTGCGAGTTGAGATTTATCTCTCACCAGCAGGACACCTCCGCAGCTGAGACGAGCTCTAAGTTTCCGACTGGTCTCTCTATATGTTTTGTAGTGTTGTGATGTAAGTGTATGTGAGTGAGGGATAAGGATAGGACGGAAAGGGAAGGAAAGATTGTAAACGGTCCGTGACTAGTTTGTTTGGATATTCGGCCGGGTTCATCGGAGAAACCTCCGAAATCTATTGGTCAGAGCTGCCGGGCTATAATTCTCTTCCATACAGCATCTGAATTCGACCTAGCTATCTAGCAAGCATGGAAAATTCACACACCGTCGGGACTGGAACCCCAGGCCCTCCTCCTGGTCAGAGGCATTGCACTGATATATGTTGATAACGACCCAGCTCAGCCGGAACCGACAATGAGTTTATCTGTCGAATTTATATCCCTTTACTTCGTACGTAGCATGGCGAGAAGTAAAAATTGATGACGGCAAATGGTCTCCGTCCGTCTGTGGTCAACGCTAGCACCTAATCCGTTCCGACAATTTCCCCCAAAATTGATATTCCCTTACTGACCTGGCCGAACATGGTTACTGCGATTTTAAAAGTTATTTCGATTTTTGGTGTCACTTTGCACAAGGCTTCGACATTTCGGAAACTTTCTCAAAAATGGCTCCGAGTTTTATATTTAAATGTTTTCCTCGAATACTGTAAAAGACGCTACAAATCTGCGCATACTCCATTTTTTCCAATTTTCGAAAATTCCAAGTTACAAATAATGCGATAAAGTACGTTGTAGCATCACTTTTTTCTTGAATATTGCCAAATACGCATCTAGAATTGGGATCAGCTATGTTTTTTGTTGAACTTTCCTAGATTTTGAAAACTGCGAATGTCACAAATAATGCGAGAAAATGTTCTGTGGTTACACAACTAGTTTTTATTTATCTTATTATGTTACGTGAACATCTTAGTTACGATAGTAATGTTACTTTGTTGTTTCAAATCACTTTCTTTTGTTTTCAAAAAGAAGTTTATAATGAAACCATCATTATAATTATTTATGCATCAAGGGCGTTATAAGTGCCCTAATGACTGCGACAAAACGCCAGAGAGCCTTTGGACACATTTTGGTCGCCAGAGGTCATTAGAACCAATTAACGCCCGTGGTACATACAGAACTATTTTTTATCTAATTTTATTTATTCCGATTTACTTATTTACTAGATACTAACTTGAATCGGTTTGTCTTTTCATATTTCTTTCGCATAATTCCCCCTGTACGAAAACCAGTAGAATCATTCTACTGTTTTCATAATTCCCTCGTAACCACGGTACTCTCGATTCAGGTACGTTATGCAGCATATATCGAACTCCGTATCAAAGGCAATAACAAGCTATAACGTATTAGTAAAAAATAAAAGCATTGAGAGCACTAGTCCTATAGACTACATAGAATGTAATTATGCTAGTAAGAGAGAAATCTTGCAATAACTACTATTATTACGTTAATACTATATTTACTATATACTCTACTATGACACTCATTTTGGGCTTCTTATGAAAAATATTTTTAATTCTTTAATTTAATCAAATCTATGCACTCGAAGTCTCTCTACCTATTTTATGTATGTATGTAGACAACTAGATAATTCTTGATTCATTGACTTCAACAATGTACAGATTTTAATAGATAACCAGTAAACAATACAGGTTACAATCAATCATTGAATAGCCAAAAAATCGCAGAAGAATATGGACAGAACAAATATCTTGGAAGTCAGTAAAAAGAACTGACAGACTACATGAAGTAACTGCCCAGAATGAAGACACCTCAGTGGGCTGATGAAGATATGGAATCATACTATGAAAACTCTTTCTGGAAGTCTGGAGGTAAAGAAGCCAACTTATCAGAATCTTAATAATGTTTATGAAAAAACATAACACTGGAGCATTTTACAGAAACATAAAATTGATTAATTAACAAATCCCTCAAACACATCTTGGCTTCTTTTCCTTAAAATTTTGTCAAATTCAAGAAAAATTAAATTTTTGCTGTAGTATTTCTATTGTTGATTCAATTAAAACACTGACACTCAGAATAGGAGCCAAAGATATTATTTTGATCATTCAGCAAACCGTATCATCACAATCACCACAATACACAAACCAATGAATACAGTAAAATGTTCTCTCCGTTGTGTTTACAATATTCATAGTAAATCATTTCATTACACTCACATGTAACTTCTGAATTAAAATACCCTATTTCTGTACAATGTTTTTATGAAAAAACAACAACTGGCAACATTTGCATCCACTCCTACATTTTTGCAGTTTTTTCTTCAAATCTTAGGAATGGTGTCGCTTAGACATTTACATTTACTGATGGAAAAAGATTTAGGAGATGAGGATAAAAAAAAAAAGTATGTAGGATATTGTTAGTCCAAAGCTAATGAGTTGTATCTCAAAAAATGTTCTTTACCGGACGCACAAACTATTTAGGGCACAACATTTCATTTCATAGCAAAAGATAAAGCATTTTATTGCACATACACACTTGTGGGCCAATTTAATGAAAAATACTATTTTCTAAACCTACTACTTTGCTTTACTAAAAAATTATGATTTATGAGATATGTTGCTAGCAAGATTCAGGCTAGCAATATTTTGTTACAAATATTTCAATTTGCGGCAATTTTATGACAGAATCATGGCCTACGAGGAGGTTGCACAAAATGTCTTACCATCATGTTTGATTCATGCATGTAATTCAGGCATTCTCTGAAAGATGTTCCTTCAGTCACTTCTATACTAATGTCAAGTTAACAATCGCATAGTTCACAAACAAACATGACAAACAGTAATATGTATAATAAAAAAATCATGCAGTAAATTAAATTACCCTCTTTAAGGAAAACAACAATACTGAAAAAATTGAATAAATTTTCTAAAAATCCCTCAGAAGACAACATTTCACCAAGGATAAAATTTTAAAATGAACACCAACCACCATATTTTTACACTGAACATTGAAAATGTCAATGCAATGAAAACTACATTGCGAATATCATCACCAATTAGGTAACTTCACAAGTCCAAATTCAACAACAGCAACAAAAAAATCATCACGATAGCAACCTTTTAATCAACACCTAACTACATCTCTACCTCCATCAAAAATAATGTTGGCATAATTCCGAGATCAATTTGAGAAACACAAACTCTTTTAAGCATTTATAATTTATAGAATAAAAAAATAAGTAACACCACTAATACTAATGTTCACATGAACATTCTACTGAATACAATTTTGAGAGTTACAAACTTTCAAGTAATATCCCTTTAAAGATTATAAATTTTCCATCAGAGAATTATAACAAAATGTATCCAAAAATCATATAAAAAACTCACAAGTTGAATTTATTTCTAAGCAATTTACAAAATTTCACTGTTTAATTAAGTAGTTGATACCATATGAAACAAACACCAACTCAACATGCACATGTAAGCTTAGTGCGAGGAAGACTGAAATGACGGGCAAAAGGTCGGCCTATCAGCCAAAGTTGCGGTATCACCCGGACAGCCAAGAACTCACCAACTCATCATGTTGCTATCGTCATTCAAACAAATGTCACAAGATTCAGAGAATGCAATAGTCTCCAATTGAAGAAAGAAAAAAAAGTTAAATACAGCTTCAGTCACCACTAACCAAACATTATCTGAGAAAATACAATAAGATGTTAATTCTACACAGAAATTTCTAATAAATACTGGAACAAATGGCTAAAATTGTTTGCAGCCTAAATGACATTCAAAAGGGAAACAAATGTTTCAATTCCTGAGAGATTTATCACAACGGACAGGTAGAAGAGCATCCCTTTGTAATGTCCATTACAAAAACAAAATGAAATATTTTAGATTGCCACTAATAAGGATCCAAATTTTGATGACATTCAGAGAAGACAACTGTTTTTTGAAGTTCATGAGAAATGTACGAATTGGTACCTTCTTTTTATATTACAAAGTCAATACTCTTTCTGGATGAACGACATATATATTGAAATAAATTTGTTGGATAGACTTAGTCATGTGAAAAAGAGAAATCATTATTTTCATGCTACTAAATGAAATTTGTTTGAGTACTTGCTAATTAAGCCTTAATAAGAGCCTTGTGTCAAATCCAAATTCCATGACTTAGGAATCTTCTCAAAAATAAATGAATATCTACACCATTCTTTCGAAGGTTGTTCAAAAAGTTCAGATTTCACTACAACAGATTCTTGTCTTGTTTACGAACCACTAATTCACTTCATATATAAAATCCTGAAATGTCTCCATATTCCTAAATGTCAAAATTGTGTCAGCAAATACTAACAGTTGTAGAAACAGCATAGATTTCAAATACATAATTTGTTCATTTCAATGAGCTCTGGGACACATAATAAATTGCAGGAGTAAACAAACCCAACACCATGAAACCAAGAACCATCTGTTGATTACTTCTTCCTGAAAAGACAGAATAAGATTGGTCGATTTTGCACTTTCACACTGAACAGTTGCACTCTTGCATTCATTGTTCACATGTGCTCTTAGTATCCATTAGAAGCACAAATGGTTCAAAGACGTCGTGTACATCTGTAATGTCAACATTAGCACAAACCTATATTTCACACCAACACGAAATGTCACCAAGAAAAAAAAGTAAATATTAGTGACATCAGCCAACAGTCCATGAAAAATGATGGAGATAGCTTCATAGTCACAAATAAAGAAAAAAAAGTTTTTCTTCACAGACTCAAATTTGCACCTCCAAAATCCACCACTCAACCGTGCCACGACTCAACATTGAGAATGACGGACAACTCCCTGACATCATGAAGATTAAACGCTGATCTCAAGCTTCTAATGACAACTACATTTGTACACCGACCTGACGTTCAGTAACATTTTGACAGCCTTGAATAAATATTTCTAAATTATTAAACTATGTTTTTACACAAAATTTGACATACCACGTAGCACCGTTGTCTTCCAGTGCCATATTAACATGATACTATATCAAACAATACAATGCTGGGCTAAGGTGTACCCGAAACAAACGACGACATAGTTCGTGTGTAATATTACAACTATACCATAATGCTTATCACTACCTATGATCAACACCTGATCACTTCAAAACCCTGCCTACTTGGCTCTGTTTGGTCAACAACATTAAAAATACCAATTCTAGTATGATTTCACATGTAGTACACTTACTCTCCGCTATGATCGCTGTTTCACAACATTGTATTAAATCATTTGGATCCAAACAGTTTCCACTTACGTACGTTTTCCAACGTACTCAAAGAAATATATTACTTCATTTATGTCCATGAATATCCGAGGAAAATAAATTTAAAAAACATCTAATTTTCTGCGTAAAACTGTAATTAATCATGTCACAAAAGTAAACTAGTATACTTTATTATTTCATCTGTTTTCAGGCTAAGGCGGGAAATAAATTTTGGTTCTGAGCGGATACAATGTACTTATAAAAATGATAAAAGCATTTCCATACATAACAAACAATATAAATATTTGAAATTTAAACATAATTACAGTTCTAATTTACATCATATGTTTTATTTGAAAACACGTGTGTAAATTAACGAAATGAAAATAGGCGCTATAACATCACATACATTCTCCCATTATCGGGAACGGTTACGTAATATTATAATATTAAAATGACGGCACTGATTCTTCAGACTGATTCTTAACAGACATAACTGATTCTTCAGACATCACTTGAAAAAGTCCAAACACATTCAAACAAAGCGCCTGCGATGCATATCTGCAGTTATTTCGATAATCACAAACAGTAGGTCTTTCTTACCGCATACTACAAAAGAAACAAGCATGAATTTATCTAAATTGTTATACTATTTGCAGTACATTATACAGAGAAGTAAGGATAATTTCACATATACATTCAGAACTAAAGGCCATCCAATATGTCTCCTTATAATGTATTCATACGAAACTACAGTATCGTTACGTATTGTCCATCTTATGCCCTCTGCAATGTACACTCACACACCGCCGCGCGCATATATATATATATATATATATATATATATATATATATATATATAATATATATATATTATATATATAATAAAACTCAAGTTTTAGGCAGCAACTGATGCAAAACGTTTACAAGGCGTATATGCTCATTGGCAGCAGCCCTGAATGTATCTGTCATCTGACATTAACCGTTTTGACGGAGACGCGGTGGTACATACAAATATATAAAAAACGGCCCCCTCCCAGACACCGCGGTTGTAGCTACCACGTGACGCTCGAAGAGATCAGAGGAAAATACTCTCTGGAGGAGATGGCCTAAGGATTAGAAGGATGGCCTTTGGGTGCCTGTGGGAAAGTTCTCCAGAAAAAGAAGCGACTAGAGTGCGTGGTGCCTGGCTGGACACGGCCGCATCCTCGCCTGTGGGTGGCAGGTGCTTCTAATGAGGCGATTAGGCCATAAAACGTGCACTCTATTTCGCCGACAAATATCTCTGCCGGCTAGCGCGAACCAGTGCTCTGAAGGAGCCCCCGCCACCGTTGGGGGGGGGGGAGGTGACGACGGCGGCGGCCGCACTCGGAGTGAAAGGCGGCCCTGGACGAAAGGCTCGACGACCCCGCGCTGTCGGGGAGGGGGCGCGACCTGGCAACGGCCCTGGTGCGGCGCGCGGGCAGTCCAAATGCAACTCGCGTGCGAAAGCACTTCTTGCGACAGTAAAAGAACAGTCACCACTGGATTCTGCTTATCGGTGGAATATTCATAAACTCAATGAAAATGTCGCCACGAATAGGGAGTATGTTCTTTCGAAAACAATACGTTGTATTTAGTTTTATGGAGCGTTTGAACTCGCAAAAAATTTAAATAAATAATATGAAAAGTTCAATTTTTAATTTCCCGCTGTGCAGAATCACCAAGTTATTCGCTCACGAGCCACCACTGATCACCAAACCCAAAGAGTACGTTAATGAACTCTTATCTGAAGAAAGAAAATGTTCGCGGTTTCCTGCTACTGTAGCCATAAGCAGTACATTATAATACTGAAATATAGACAGATGGCTTAAACCATTAAAAATAAGCTAAAAGGTAAAACTCATCTGTGTGATATATATATATATATTCTACAGAGCCAGCGGGATATACCCAATGCTAGGCTTATATTTAACAAAGATCACATCATTTAACAAAGTAATATCAAGTAAAAATAACAGCAACTAGTTACAATAAATGAAAAAAATGAACTAAACTTAACTAAATTTGATATGAATGGGGACTGCATAAAATAAATCGAAAAGAAAATGAGCTAATCTATTGTACCTTTAGTTCCCTGCTGCATTGCACAAAGTCACTATCGAGTCACAAATATCAATATAAATCTCAGCACTGATTATAAATTTGTTGACATTTGAGACCATTTTATAAAAAATTCTATTGCTTGAATACCTATCATTTGGGACAATATTATAAAATAGTCTCACAGAACTATGCGCGTATTACGGAACCGATAGTGAAATCATTCCTTGTATCAGTGGACAAAATGTAGTATTTCTCAATACTTTAATGAAGAAAACAATCGATGATAATTGCCATCTATCGGCTAAACTAACGAGGCTAAATTTTGATAATAAGTAATCATTATCCATTCCGCGTGGCGGATAACTGCCTGTATTTCGAGATTCGAAATATTTCATAAATCTTCTCTGAGCTTTTGAAATCTCTTACGATCAGGCGACCATATTACCGAAGCGTATTCCAATTTAGATCTCACAATCACAAAAAATAACGCCTTTAAAACATAAATGGATTTAATTTTCTTCCCCAATCTCATGAGAAAAACCACGCGTTTTATTGTCGCTCAACACGAGAGACTCTGTATGTGCTGTAAATGTCAGCCGACGGTCAAAAATGACCCCCAGATCCCCTACCAAATGAACTGATTTTAAAGTAATGTTATTTATTGTATAATTACATGACTGTAATTATAAACGTGAAACGGATCCCTTCCACTCTCCGACTTATCTGCAGCACACACCATGCGTGCTTGCTGGCCGAGGCTGAGGAGCCGTCCTTTAAAACAAGACGAGATATTCCATTAGTACCTTATGGTGCTAAAGTATCAGGACTCTAACCATCCTTGTCGCCGAATAATTATCCATCCTGAAAAGGAAACCTCTTATATTCTTTGAATATCACTACCTCAGCCTCCAAGTATTCCATTTCAAAATCTTTTGTGGGACCTTAATGACCGTCTTTCCTCAGTTAAACCCCTTAGTACATTCCCCCTTGGAAACTCCTCTGCCCCAATACTGACCTCAGACTCTCCAATCTTTCCAAACAAATTACTTGTCCTCTTGTTTGCCAGGTGCAGTTTCAGGAAATGATGTAAGCCTGCACTTATATTCTTATACACAGATGGTTCATTGTACAAAGGTGATTAGCGTAGTTACTGATCTCGAGGAATGAAGTTGGCACTTCTGCACTATAAATTGGAAGGTGCCATAGCTGATGTTCGGTGAGAAGTTTGGTAGTTCCAGTGCAAGTACTGCTGCGACAGTGAGGTGAGACATAATTTTAATTTATTTGATGTAAATTTTCAAGATATTGGAAATATGTTTACGCTGTTAATAGCACAGTAATTAAAAACTACAGCTAAGAGTAAGTTTATGTGAAATATGAACTTCTCTACGCACTACTAAATAGTTTCGTAGATGCCTGACAGAAGACAGCACAAATTAAAAGGTATTATTTTGACGGTTGGGCGTGTCCGCATTTATGTCGGGGAAAGAGTTCTCGTAAGAACTTCTGCCCCACCACTTATAGCAGTTGTTGAAATTTATCCAGGAAGGGTCATTCCATGTAGCGTAGCTGTTGCGTACATCGTACATGAAGAATTGTACGGCTAAAAAGGTTGCGAAAGCTACAAATACAAATTTGGTGAGAAAGTCTTCCTTCCCCCGCAGGTTAAAGGCCAGAAATACATTTCCCCCTCGGAAAGTGCGGACACTTGCTCCACGTAAAACTATTGAAAGTTATTTGAAGCACTTCTACTCACAAATACAACCAATACAGATAAATAAACCGGAAGCGTCTCTATGTGATTTTCGTATTTTCAACTTTTAAACACAGTTTCAGCTCTCTTATTCGATTTCTAAAACGTATGTCACGTCAAATCAATTGTTGTCTTTCTGTGCGTCTGTATGAACCCATTTAAGTAAACTAATGAGTATATCAACATGAACTTTAAGTACAACGTATACACTATCCATAGGTCCGACAGATATTCTTAACGGATGACCGCGAGAGGTGGCTTAGGGCATCAACTGATGTCACTGTAGTGTGTATGACCGGGAGGCATAGGTTCGAGTCCTCACGATGGTAGTATTTCCGACACAAGACAGATAGCTAGGTCGAGTTCTGTCGCTGTCTGGAGGAGTATTATAGCGGCCGGCTACTCTGATCGGTAGTTTTCCGGGATTTTTCATTAACACCAGGGGGTGCCGGAGCAGTACCTCCGGGAGACTGCTCGGGAGCCTCGAACTTGTCTCGATGGGGGCGATGCCCCCTGGTGGGAGGAACCGGGTTTGGGAAAACCCCGCTAGCCGACGGTATGTCGGCGCCGGAATTATTCATCCAGAGGGAAGATCACGGCCACCTCCCGAGAAAAAAGCATGCACTACACTTACGGGACTAATGACCTTACCCGTTGACGCGACCGGAATCAGTACCAATCAACCAACCTAACTGCTGTCAGTCCGTCTGTGGGCAACTTTAGCGCCTAAACCGTTCAGCCGATTTTCGCCAAAATTGATATTCCTAGATCGATCTCAACGGACTGGAGGGTTTGGGAATTTCTAATGAATATTTTGATGGTTGCGTTCTTTACATGAATCAGGCCTTTAGCTTTTTATGCATCAGCCCGAGTTCAACTCATACGACATCTTTGTGACGTAGTAGTATAGCTGACGACTAGTTTATTCTGTAGACTTGAGTTCGGGTCTCGGAGCGAGAAAAAAATGCTGGTTGAAAACTTTTGCTGGCTTATGTAGTAGCATGATATTGCGGAACATTTAGAAATAATGCGAGAAAGTATGTACTTTGGTAGCACAATTATTTTGTTTTACTGCCAGTTTGCCAGTTCTGCGTTTATTATAAATTTAACTTATTTTATCT